AAGACCCTCACTGGCAAAACCATCACCTTGGAAGTTGAGCCATCTGACACCATTGAGAATGTCAAAGCCAAAATCCAAGATAAGGAAGGAATCCCACCAGATCAACAACGTTTGATTTTTGCCGGCAAGCAATTGGAGGATGGACGTACCTTGTCCGACTACAACATTCAGAAGGAATCAACCCTCCACTTAGTCCTTCGCTTGCGTGGTGGTATGCAAATCTTCGTTAAGACCCTCACTGGCAAAACCATCACCTTGGAAGTCGAGCCCTCAGATACCATTGAGAATGTTAAGGCTAAGATCCAAGATAAAGAAGGCATTCCACCAGATCAACAACGTTTGATTTTTGCCGGCAAGCAACTTGAGGATGGACGTACTTTGTCCGACTACAATATACAGAAGGAATCGACACTCCATTTGGTGCTACGTCTTCGCGGAGGCGCATTCTAAATTTAAATAGAAAATCGCCAAATTCAAAATTCAAGAGTATTCAATGTATCTCGTTAATTTAACTCTATTTTGTAATTTAACGCTTTTTACATCAGTTCTGATTAAAAATTGAAATATACCCGTTTTTATGTTTAAAAGAAAATAAATTATCCGATGCACTATTTCAAGAAAACTGTTTAGTTTTGTATTTTTTTATGGGAAAGTAAGTTTATGGGGGTTTCGTAGCCATGATTTAAATAAAATTGTGTTGGCAGAAGAATAATGATCCAAGTACAATTCAATTGCGCACATTTTGTATATAGTTTCCTTTGTTGAATGCTACATGGATAAAGGGTGTCAAATAGGGGTTCATGTAATTCTTAAATCGCTAAAATTAAAAAGAATTCCACAGTTATACCACTAAAAATTGAATCCTTCACGAGCAGTTCTAAATAAATAGTAGCAATCGAAAATATATATTCATATATATATATATATATACATGTCTGTATATAAAATCTAGTTCAATTGTCATGCGCTGTGAATAGGCCACATTTTAACAATGCACTACTCAGCTGTTCCCAGCTGTCATTAGTAATCAAGTCGTCTTTCTTGTTGGTTGTTTGTCATAGCGCTCGCAGTTGAAAAACTAAAATATCCCAAATTGTTGTATACGATTTTTTTTATTAATATTTAAATGGCGGCCAAAACGTACACTTTAGAAATTGTAAAACAGCATAATAAACCAGAGGATCTTTGGATAATAATCGAAGGAAAAGTGTATGATGTGACTAAATTTCGAAACGAGGTAAAATAATAATTTATTGGCTCTATTGACATTCTAATCTTGTGTAAATAAAAAAATATTAAAATAGCATCCCGGAGGGGAAGATACACTAGACGAAGTAGGTGGCCGTGACGCCACACGGGATTTTCAGGATGTTGGACATAGTCAAGAAGCAAAGTAGGTTTCGCACACTTGAAAACTGCATATATGTGCATGGAAATGTTTAAATTTCACTTTGTTACTGCAGGCAAATGCTTAAAAAGTATTACATAGGCGATCTCGAGGTCGACAAAACGTGTAAATTGCCAGTAAGGTAAGTACATACATAGATGTATCAAGCTACGTTAATATTTAACAAAGTGCGCTTGCATGATTACATTTGTGACTAAAAAGGCTAAATAAAGCTTACCTAATTCTAATCTTACAAAAAGTGAAAAGAAAAATGCGCAATAACTCTGGCAATAAATACATAGCTTGAAGTTCAAGAACCGAAATTAAAAACATTTAGATATTAAAATTTCGTGGACAAACAAGAGAAGCACCAATATTTGTGGCTAACATTGGGAGCAGCGAAAAAATAAAACCATTTCATTACACGCAGCTCCTCAACCTACCTACCTCGATGCATGTAACAAGTCCATTTGTCATAATTAATTAATTAAAATGTGTATTATGTATAATTGCGCGACAAACAACTTTGGACGCAATGTAATAGTTCATTATATGCATACTTATTCAAACAAGTTCAATATATACATATACATATGTAAGTGCATATAACATCAACATTGAAACCATTGTGTCATAAAAATATATTTCGTAAAGCTCTAATACATATTATGCTCTAAACCGTCATTAAATATTTGTTCTCACACATAAAGCTTTCCATAAAGCCGTATATGTTAACAGAAGCCATTTGAATTCAATTTATTCTCATCAGACATATGAAGTGTATAAAAAACATATCTACTATTAATGAAATCCGTTGGCTCAGTTATTGATAACCACATGCCCCGAAGATGGTGAATATTGAAGTCTTGGCTGATAATGGACTATGTGACGAAAGCTTATCACTTGCAGCTCGCATTAATAAGAATGCCAGCATTTTTACTGTTGGATATGATAATGATATGTCCGATTTCGCCTTGAAGTAGCGCTATCTTTTTGAATTTTTGTTTTGTGTATAAATGTTGAGTTTTACATACATATGTATATATGTAATTACCATATCGCAGCCAGCCAATGTTTCAAAATCAATTGTTTTTTTATAGCTTTAAATATTTTTCGACCAAAAAAGTAAAATTTTGCAAATCGTAGACTGATGTGTAAGTTAAATTTCTCGTATTACATATCCATATATAGCCCCATAGGTGTTATTCATTTACAACGTTCGCTTTTGTATGTATTGGTGCTTTTCCTTCATATGCATTGTTGTGTCATTCTTTTAGTTTTTTACTTTTTTTTTTTTTTTTTTTTTTTTTTTTTTTTTTTTTTTTTTTTTTTTTTTTTTTTTTTTTTTTTTTTTTTTTT